GTAAGTAAGTAAGTAAGTAAGGGACCTTGAGAGAGCTGCGCACAAATAAATCCCCACAAACCTTCATGAACTACTTCGTAAAGAGGAGTTGGCCAAAATTCCTCCACAACAACGTGAGGGACTGATAAAGTCACAGGGAAAGAGATTTCTTCAAGCTGTTGCTGCTAAACGTGGTTCAACAAGCTGCTGAATCATGTCGTGTACTTACCTTTGCGCTCAATGTTTCTACATTTAGGCTTTTTGTTAAATTAATTATGACAAGATGAAATGTGACACGCGTCGTTCATTTGAGGCTGTATTTAAATGATTTTAAGACCTGCTAAGGTCATTTTTTAGTATGACTTGATACATACATAAAAAGGAAAGAAAACTAGTACACTTTTTCAATTCGGCGACTTTAACACATCCTACCGTTTTCCAGTGCAGCAGCTGGACTGATCAGTTCAGGATGCTCAGGAGAAGCTTCTCTCAGATACTCCCAACTCATCTAAGAATCAATACAGCCAGAGAACTCTTAGTTTATGAACTAATAAAATGATTTGCAGCTCAACTTTCACTTATTAACTGCTACTATTTAGTTGCGACCTGTATTAGTGTACTGGGGCTGGGCATGGCATCCTGCAGCTGCATCACTCCAAATAAAGGGTCAGGAGCTCCGTCTGTCTCCTCCAGCAGAGTCAGGACATCTGGCAGGACCAGAGATGGTCTGGAAAACAACGGGAAGCTCAGTGCCAGGAAACAGCTGTTACTTTGAGATTGAACATGAAGGTAAATATGCTGAGCATAATTTCTCACCTGCTGTGGTCATCCATATCAATTTTCTGTGAGGTTCTCTGTTTGACCAGCTGTCCCACAATGGACTGAAGTTCCTCTGAAAGGACAACAAATGAATCAACGTCAGGATCAATTATGTCTCTCCTTCCTTCAGTGTGTAAATGCCTCCTTACCCAGAAGAATAGCACACTGCCGGTGGTAGACCACAACGACACCATACTGAAGCTGGGAGGACAGGTAGAGGGAGAATCGGGGTCGGGGCAGACCTGGACGAGGTGGTGCGACCCGCTCCAGCACGTAGTTTATGATGTCGTCGCTGGATGAGCATTAACTTCATTTTAATATGCAAGCAAGCTAAAAATGTGAGAAAGTGACTCAAATAACTTCTTACCAGGTGCTTCTAACGTTGATTTTCAGGAAATCCCGGCGGGGAACCTTGATGCCTTTCGTAGCTGCCAGCCTGAAATGGGCACAGGGGATTAATGACGACTCATGTTTTATTTTACTGAAGATGAAAATCAAGATTAAAAGCTAAAGAACGAATAAATAATGTATAATCTTTTAAACTGTGACAGAAAAGAACCAAAGACAGTCTGTGGTTGGGAAAAGTTTATGGTACCATTAACACGCGATTCACCTCCCCGTCCACTCGCTGTTGTGCTCCATTTTTAGAGTAAAACTTAGCAAGTATCAGCTAAAAATACCAATAGATTCTCATAGTTTTGACACCCTTTGATAGTCATTGTTGCATTTGGGCATTTTCGCTTTTGTCACATTTCTTGTTTGAAGATATTCAAAATATTTTCAGTCAGTGAAAGGTCTGGTCTGCAGGGAGGCCAGTCCAGCACCTGAACTCTTCTACTATGAAGTCATCCTGCTGGAATAGATGCAGTATGTGGCTTATCATTATCATTGTCTTGCTGAAATATACAAGGATTTCCCAGAAAAAAAAGCCTCATCTGGATGGGAGCATATGTTGCTCCATAGGTAGCAACATACGCCATATGGCAGCATTCCCATCAGACATGCAGACTTTTCAACTGAGCACTGATATGAATGGTCCCTCTCCTCTTCAGTCCAGAGGATGCTCCATAGATGTTTTTTAATAATTTGTGACTGGCACACTGAACTGTGTTGAACTTAAATGTTTCTGAGCCCTGCAGTGATTTGTTTTTGGCAGACTCACATGTTTTTCATGTAGCACCGCCTGATGGCCAGAAGATCACAAGCATCCAGTTTTAATTTCCAGCCCGTTCCCGCCTTGTGCACAGAGATTTCTCCAGATTCTCTGAATCTTTTAAATTTTATATACCGGTACTGTAGATGATGAATTATTCAAAGACTTTGCAATTTTCATTGAAAAACATTACTCTGAAATCCCAGAAAGTTGATTCTATTCATCTGGACGTAATGTTTTCAGTGGGAGAAATGTTTCATCACTCATCCAAGGGACTTCTTCAAACCTTACGAACATCTTATAATTCTGTGATTGCAGCCAGTCTCCAACTCTCTGTGAATGATACTCATGGCTGTTGATTAATGGTCATGCATCAAAATGTTACTCTGAAATTGTTCCACAATTTTGCAGATGCATTTTTTTCCAGATTGATGAATCTGTCTATTTAAGATGCTGTTTTAATGCTCAGTTACATTACTCTGCTCTGCTACCAATTAAGTGAGTTGCAAAATGTTCCTCCACCTGTCTCCCCCTCCAGCCCAGCATCTTCCAGATATGTTGCTAACAAAAATTCAAACTGAGCTAATATTTCACATGATTAAAAATGTCTCAGTCGAAACATCTCATGTGTTTTCTGTTCTACAGAGAGTAAAATATGGGGGTTTTAAAATTTGCAAATCACTCCATTGTTGTTTTTATTTTCATTTTACAGGCACAGGTCAGTGAATTCTTAAGTGTACTTAGGACAAATGTACAAATGTGTACTTTTTAAAAAAAAAGTACACATTTGTGTATGAAAAATGATTGACACATTAACAATTTACCAGTTTTTTACCCTTTAATAGATGCAGTTTCATTTGCTTTTCAGCTAAAAACTGATCGAAATGACTTTGATTATCTTTTTTTTTTCACGGTTTTAAAAATGTCTGAAAGTACCTTGAATAAATACAAAGATGGGAATGCCCTCATTTTACGATGTATGTAGCCTTTGATCTCTCAATCTTCAAAGCTAGCGTCTTTCATAAACAAGGCTTCAAATACTTTAAACTTGATGTTTGTGTTTGCTTAACCTCAGCTGCACCTGCACCGTGCGATCTTTTTTTTTTTTTAACACATTTAAATATACATATGGACTCAGAGGCAGAATGTGAGTTTTACATGCATAAAAATGTTGGTAAAATGTATGTAAAATTGATAAACTCCCCCAAAACTAACACACAGTGCACCGGTTATTTTCCTTGTGAGGAAGTACATACATTTAATTACTTTAACGGGTCGACAGAAACATGCTTCTGTTAGGCTTTTATAGACTAAAATATTAATATGTTTAACCACTTAAAATGTACTTAAACACCCCGTTTTCTCTGGGTAAAGGAAGACTGGAACATAAAACGTAACCATCAGCGAGTCTGAATGTTTACTTCAGGGGTTTGTGCACATTAGCAACATTTTTTCCCAGATTTAAGTTTATTTATGATTAGAAACTAGTCTAAAATACCCATTTTCCTATTAAACGTAATGATTTTTAAAACATCTTATCAATAATGTTAGCTGACATGAAACGGCTAGCCTACTGCCTAAGCACTGTGGAGTACATCTATGTGTCGATTTTAACCAGGCTTTTACTCACCAGATGGTAGAAAAGCATCCTGTGTGACGCTTTAAAACTGTGGGATAGTAAAACATTCCAGCAAATTTTTGATAAATCAGTTAATTAGCGGATAAAATCCGATAGATCACAGCTTCCGATCTACATCAGAGCTGATTCTCTCCACTGTGAGATATGAATGTTGTTTGTTTATTCTTCTGAGGCAGGTGGTTGGTCAGTGCTGCTGTGAGAAATGACAACACTTGTATGATTTGCTGGTCACTCTGAGCGCTTGAAGTAACATTTAAAGAGAAATAGGCACACAAATGTTAAAGCTCGATTAAATAAAATATCAATACACTATTAAAAACGAACAAAAGGTCATAATACAGTTATTTTATTGTGAAGGGTTTGTTTCAATTCAGGACCTTTGGTTAGTTTCACAGAGAGGACATTTTATTGAGATGTAGAGGAACAATAAAATCAAGGCAGTAGTAATAAAATGTAAAATTTGAATTAAAAAACAAAACAAAACACACAACTCAAACCCCTCCAAAAAAAGAACAAATAAAAACTCGGGGTACATTGTTGAGAGGGTTCCTTAGTTTAACTACAGGTAATGGAGGTCCCTGTGGATCACAGCAGTCTTCCTCGGCACTCGGTGGAGCCGCAGCAGCAGAGCAGGACCTTACCCTCCACGCTGCCCACCTCGTAGTTATAGTCCCAGGTCAGCTCTGTGCCGGCCCGGATCCTCCTGCACGACGACACAAACGGTGATGTCAGTGCAAGAACAAAACGTTAAGATGTTGTTAGGTACATATTCATTAACGCAAATGTCTAATCAGCCAATCACATGGCAGCAACTCAATTCATTTAGGCTTGTAGATACAGTTGAGACAACATGCTGATGTTCAGACTGAGCATGGCACGGTTCTTGTTGCCAGCTGTGTTGGTTTGAGTGTTTCAGAAACTGCTGATCTTCTGAGTCATCAGATATTGACCTATTAGACAAACTGTGTGACGCTATCATGTCAATATGGACCAGAATCTCTGAGGAATGTCTCGAGCATCTCGTTGTCATGAAGAATTAAAGCTGTTTTGAAGGGCAAAAGGGCAGAGCAACCTGCCCTTTTACCTTACAAAGGGCAAAGGGGAGCAAGGTGAAGTGGCCAGATGAGTCCGATGAGTCTTCATTGTACGTTCTAGCCTTGAAACTAATAGTGAGAGTGGTCGACTGCTTGTTACAGAGCTCCCAGTCTAATGCCTCTCTCTTTCCCTGCACACACTGAGCCACAAGTGCTGTTTAGGCGGGTGGCATAAATCCAGTCCATTGCTGATAGGAACACCTTTCCGCAACTGTAAAACTATTCCTGTATGATCCGATGGCAGGCCTAACAATGACACAGCAGCGCCACCCTAAGGTTGCATTCACACAGAAAACAACACAGCATCTGTTTTTCCACTCAAAACTCCACCCTGTTTAACAGAAAGCAAACATTCAGAGTAGTGCAGTCTCAGTGTTAGACATGATTAAATAATATGAATAATTAATAAAAAAAAACTCATCAAGATAGTTATGGATGATGGCCTCTCGCCCTGTAAGAGAGAAATCCCCTAAAATAAAACGGCACATATGTTGAACTTTACTCAACTTTAAACACACCTTCCTGTCAGTTTATTTGTAAGGGTAAAGACAAGAATTCTACTGTTTTGCAGGCATGTTCAAGTACAGAAAATCTTGGATAATCTTTTCCTCTGTTTCAAAACTCACTTGCTGGCAAAGAAGGCAACCCAGGGAAACCTCAAGTCATGCGTGTCTACAAACACATTCTGGACGAAAAGGTTCGGACTGCAGCTGTGCTGTAACACAAACAGAGAGCAGAGGTGACGACGTCAGAGGAAAGTAATCAAAGCGGCGCTCAAGTAACATAAAACGATCACACAGCAGCAGATTCATACGTTGAGATAACGTCCGAGGTTTCCTTCCAACTTGGCATCAATGATGTAACAGGACTCTTCCCCATCAAAGAACTGGCGGGTGTTTTTAGTGGGAGTGTTGTCTCCGCCTCCTCCCGTCTGCCCCTGCTGTCCTCCTTTACCTCCTCCCGGCCCTCCACCTCCAGGCACGCCTGTTTTTACCATCATCCCGTGGCTGTTTTTCAGGGCGATGCCACGAGTAGATTTCACAGCCACCTGCTTTTTAGTCACACCTGATGCAGATGTAAGAAGAGAGAAAACCAGTGGAAAGTTACGATAAGTGTGATGACAAACAAAAGCAATTCAAGCTAAGATAAGATAAATCTTTACTGTCATTGTACAGATCAGAGTGCTACATCTGATAGTGCGTTAAGACCAGTTAAAACAATGAAACCGACAACCGACTCTTTACCTGGCGTTGCTTTCTCTTTGTCCTTGTTGTCATCGGATCCTGAGCTGATGGTCTGAACATCGTCACTGTCAGACAAAGTCATCACATCCTGCTTCTTCACCACTTCAGGCTTCACTGGACTGCAAGAGATAAAAAATGAAAGTCATCTCAACAGAAATGCTTTCCAGCAAAATGAGCTCAAGCACAAACGTGTGGAAGCAAACACGGTCTAAACACCAGTGTAAGCATGTTAGTGTGAAATCCAAACAAACCTCTTGTTATCTCCAGGTTCCTACGAAGAAAATAGAAAAGGAAGGGTTATTAATAATCACGCAACATGTTCATGAAGAAAAAGAGCCACTCAGAGCCATTCAGCCTTTTACTGTACTAAGATGAAAATAGGATTACAGCTTTATTTCTGTGTATTCTGTATATTTCCAACATTACGTTGTCTTTAATAACCTTTTTAAGCCCCTGGCTCGTTAGCCAGGAAGCCACTTTGCTTTTTCCCGTCTCCTCTGGCATAGATGGTG